ATAAAGAAAAGTTAAATGAACTTGATTTCACTAAATTCCCTAAGTTAGATATGAAGCTTATTGCTTCTATTGATGATATATTAGGTACTGATATTCCAATGTTATTAAAGAAATACCCAATGGAAGACAGTTTGTCCTCTTCTTCTAACCCATTTGAAGCATCAACTGGTTATGAAAAATGTATGGACATTTTAGAAGTAACTGACGATGAAATTTTTGCTTACCAAAAAGAATTTGATAAATTACCAAAGAATGAAGAAGGTAAAGTTAGTGGTAAAGATTGTTTTGCTCCATTGATGGCTACTGGGGCAGATAAAAAAGCTCTGAAAAAGATATGGTCTATTGCTGATTCTGGTAAAAATGGATCGTTAAATGCTCATCAATACATTTTTGCCAAAGTTTTAGTTCGAAGTCTCTTGAAGAATGGTGGTTATCCGGATGATTTACCGCCTGTTGAATAGCTTATTAGTACAATGAAATTTAGTTATTTAATTCTAGTGTTTCCATAAAATTTTTTTATATTCTTTAAATCCATTCATTAGTTAAAGTTGTTTCTTTCCTTAAAGGATTAGAAGAGAAGCCATATTGTTCTGAGTTACCAGATCTATTAAAACAGCTTAAATTTTAAAATACAAATTAATTTTTTTGTTATTTGAATATTTTTTTATTAACAACAAAAAAAAGAAAAGAATAAAAATAAAAACAAGAATTATTTTAATATATAATAAGTTGATAATTAAGAATTAAAAGTATATAATATAGAAAGAAATAAAAAAATTTTAACAAATTGTAAATTAATTTTCTTGTTTAGTAGTTTCTTTATCATCTAAGAACATACTGATTGTTGATAAATATCCTTTTTGTGAGAATGTTGGATTCTTTGGAATTATGTCATCTATCATTTGTTTTCTTTGTAAATATGGTAACATTACATCATCTCCTATAGTTCTTTGTTTTGAGTTGTCTGATGCATTAAAGGTTGTTTCTCTTATTAATTCTCCTAAAATATCTTCAGGAACAACCATATTATCTAATAATGGTCCAAATACTCTTACATCTTTTTTTCTATGTATTTCAATAGTATCAACACCACATATTCCTGGTTTAATAATTATTTGACTTGAAATATTTCCATTATTTTGTTCTTCAATTTCAACTTGGTTTTCTTCTTGATAATTTTCATTCCATATTACTATAACATGATCTTCACTGATTAATTTCCATTTTCTTTTTTCATTACCTTCTATAGATGGCATTCTAACACTCTCATGATAAACACATTCTCTTGTTGATGATTTATAATAAAGAACAGTTGTACCATCATTTCCTGTTTTTTCCATTCCTCCAATAAATCCATTGTATTTCTTAATATCCATTTGTTCTCCTAATGAACTTGAGAATCCTTCATATCTTCTTGAAACTTCACAATTCTTTAATATTTCTAATTTATTTTTCATTCCTTTCTTTACATAAATCAAACCAATTGGATACACTCTTCTTGCAGGAGTTTTATCAAGAGTACTGATTAAATTTCTAAATTTGTCATGAGATGGTAATGATGTTAATCTTGATGAAATAGCTAATCCATCAATAAAGAATAATTCAGTCATTAATAATCCTGTTGTTAATGGTGAGGTAATTGATACATTAATTTTTTCTGGTAAAGAAGGTGGTAAAATATCAATTTTCTCTTTTGGTATTTGTTGAAGTGTTTTTCTCATATCAATACATTCATTTGTTATTGTTTTTAATGTTTGATCAAATTCTTCTTTATTTTCTAATTCAGTTGGGAAATCCCAAACAAGTTCTTCTGGAATTAAATCAATAAGTTGAGAAACATCATTAATATCACTATGAATCTTTTCTACAACAATACCATCTCCTTCAGGAACATTACCAAGAATTTCTATATGTTCAATAGTCTTTTTCCAATTAGGAACTTGTACTTCTGTAAATTTCCATTCAAATCTACCAACACTATTTCTTACACAAATTATGACATCTTCTTTATTGTCTGGATGTGTTACAGAATATAATGTATTACCATTAAAAAACCATTTAGTTGATTTATCTAATATATCTGATCCAGTAGAATTAACTAATAAAGCACCTTCTGTACCTAATCCTGATATATATAATCCAATATATGCCTCTGCTGCTTCTGCAGCAATAACTCGATGTGGGTTTGAAGTTGTTGTATTCATATGAAGTGCACTAGTAAGTGCTTCAAGCATAACATTAGCTATATCAATAGAGTGAATTGCTGGAGATACTGTTGGTGAAATAAGATATTCCATTAATGCATAAAGTAAACTTCCTACTGTTTGATTATTTAAAGTAGAAATCATTTGAAATGTAGAAATATGTAATTCAGTAATTAATGGAATAGGTAATGGTGGTGATAAACGTGCTAATGATGAAATAATTTGACAAATACATCCATACCTCTCAGTTGGTAAATAAGATATTAAACATTTTAATATATCTAATGCTAAATCATTTTGTTTTTTTTGAATAACTAGAAGATGAAGATGACATGCTAATCCCCATAATAATGTTTCTTGTGCAATAGGATCTTTAAATAAAGACATTAAATGTTTTTGAGCATAATATAATGAATTATTAAAATCTCCTAATGTATCTGTAAATTTAATTAATGGGAAGACTTGTGGATATAATTTTTCTACATAAATTAATGAATTTAATAATCCAATAATTTTCATTATATTATTTTCATGTAATTTTTCTGGTAATGTTGGTAATTGTTGAAGCATAGAAATTAATGGAACAATCATTCTAGTACATCCTGGTAATCTTAATGAAAAAATATCATGTAATCCAAGAAGAAATTCATATGGTGCATTTGGAATAAGAGGAACAATACTTTCATAAAATGTAGAATATGCTGCAAGAATATATCGTTTATTTCTAACAAATAAATCACATAATCCTAATCCTGCAGTTATTTTTACTTCAATTTCTTCTGAAGATGAAAGACTACGAAGGAAATATGTACCAAAAATATTCATTAAATCAACTTTATTTTCTTTATCATATCTCATTAATAAATCACATACTTTTCTCACACTTGTAATACAATTTTTTACTGATGTTTCTATACATGTATCTTGTATCATAACCCAAAGTCCTTCCCATAATTCAAACATTTCATTTGATTTCATTTTAATCATTTCTTTAAATGTAGGATCATCATTAGGAAATATATAATCTGGTTCAACATTAATATAACGTACCATTTGATTAGAACTTTGTAATGTAGAATTCTTTGGTAAGAAAATAATTTGTTTTGTTACATGAATAATTTTTTGACATAACTGATTTAATAATCCTGAAGAAGAATAAAATTGATGAAGCATATCATATAATTTGTTATATGCTGTAGCTGAATGTCTCCATCTAACATAAGATGTAATAATAGTATCAACAAGTGAACCAATAGCATCATCACGATAACAAGTAACTAATTTATTAATATTATTAACAAGTGTTGCAATAAGTAAATCTTTCATATCATCCATTAAATCTAATTCATTATTTAATAATTCCATCATTCTTGAATGAAGTGCTGATGTAAAACAACTAATATTTGGATTCATTTCTGCATGGTCAAATGGAATATCAATACATTGAATAATATATCTTCTAAATTCTAATAATTTTGTACTTCCAAGTGCATTTTCAAAACTTGTTGCAGTGTTTGTTTTAGCAACAAATTCTGTATAAAAAAATGTAAAATAATTAAGTCCATTTTGGAATGTTTCTGGTGAGAAATTTAATGCTGTTGATAGAATAAACTCTAAAAATGGAACTGTACCCTCTTCTTTGAAGAACATTTCTTTAATATCACTAGTTATTATTTTTCGTAATTCAGTTAAAATAATTTCCATTAATCGTGTTGGAACATCTCCTAATCCTGTTGATGGGACAACACATGACAATGTAATTGTTTTAGAAAATGATGGAAATAGTAATGCACATATATGTTCTGCAATAGGAAGAAATGTTTTATAACTCTCTTTCTTTAATAGTCGATCCAAAAATTTATCAATAAATTCCATTGAAAGTGATCGTTCATCAACAGGTTCTTCTGAAGGAACATAAGGTTCATTAACTAATCCAGGAAATGGTTGGTTTGGTGATAGATCAATTAAACTTCCAATATTCATTGAAGATAATATATATCTTGCAAATTGTGATGAATACTCTTGTTTATCTTGATACATATTTAATAATGTTTCATATGCTGCACGTCTTAATATTGTATCAGTTCCAATAGAAAGATAATTCTCAAATAATGAAAATAACGACTCAAATACATGGAATTCATTATAAGGAAATACTTTTCCTGCAAATTCTATTATTTTTAATTGACTTAAGGCTGCTTTACTAGTTTGTTTTCCTTTTTTACAATGAGCAACTTGTCCAGTAGCATATTCACTAAGAATTAATCCAGTCAATGAATGATTTATTTTACAATATGATACAATATCACTATCTTCTTCAATAAGCCATTGTAAATATTTGAATTTATTTGCATTAGATTCTTTTGGTTCAAGAAGTAATGCCTTTTTCTTTCTTATCTTCTTTTCCTGTTCTAATTGTTCTTTAGCCGATTTACTTGACATAAAGTTATTATTTAATAGTTCTTTATTTATTTTTAGTTAAATTATGTTTTAATAATTGGAAAACCTTTTTTATTAATGGAAAAATACTCGGCGAGTTTCTAGCATTTAGTATTGTTATATTTTATATTCTTTTAGTTTTATACTACTGACCTTTCTTACATTAAATTGAGTACTATCTTATAATAATACAAAATGAAAAGAATAACTTATTGTTATTGCATTTAAAAATTACATAAAGAAATCTAAACCAGAAAGAAAGCAATTAAATTTAAAGTTCAAATTACAAGTCAAGATAATGTGCTAAAAAAATAAATCTATTTATAATCTAAAATAAATACCAAAAATTACTATATAACAAACATGCAAGTAATAGTTCTAATGCATTTGATGGATCAATATCAAAGTTTGGAATAACGTCTTGAGATGGTGCATGAGAATACATTTGCCTGTAATACATATATTCAATGGTTCGTTCTAATAATTTACTTGGAATACCTGGAATAGGAATAGTAATGATACCTTCTGTTGGTTGGTCTTCAAGCATTGTTTTAAGTGTTCCACTGTGTTGTGCACATTCACGAGAAATATAAAATTCATGACCATCTTGTGAAATAAGTTTTAGATTTGGGATATCCATTTTGTTGAGAGAATCTGAGAATTTAAAGTGAAATTTTATATTTTCTTTTTATTTTGAGATAGTGAGTGATAAAAAAAGTGATAGAACAAAACTAACAACCAATTGACTTTAGATATATCTATCATAAATTCTTCTTTTTTTAGTAATTAAACAAAAGGCTTTAAGTTATGACTCAAATCTATTATAACTCAATTAATACAATGCAAATTTATTATACGTTGTTTTTTTATAAAAGTTAAATATCAATAACTAAAGTTTTTATTGGTATTTTTGTTTTATGAATATTTTTAAATTTAAAGGAGTTGTTTATTCACGGGTTTATACTTTTTTTTTATTTTTTATTATGTTACTTTCAGATAGATAATCAACAGTTGAAATGTAATTTTCTTATATTTGAAGTTTTTTCCTTCTTAATATTTTTGTAGCTTGAGTTAATTTCTAAAAAAAACTATTGAAGTTAGTTATAATAAGTTTAATTTGTCGCTACTAGAATAGATTATTTTCAATGAACATTTCTCTATATATAATTGCTATATCTTTGAGAGAGAATTTATTATTTTTTTTATAATGAATAGTAATTGAAATCCAAAAAAATAAAAAATTTAGTCTATATTTTCCTGACTTTTACATCTTCCGAACTCAATTTATACATTATTGCTTTATGGGGATTTGCTATATCTGTAAAGAACAAACTACCTTATATTGTATTGACCATGAAAAACATATTTGTTTAAACTGTCTTACAAAAAGTCATAAAGAAGTTTGTTGAAAATATTATTATTTAATTAAATAGACATTCATAATTTTACCATAGTGCACAATTTGTCAGTATGTGGATTATGTCGATGGTAAAGTAAAAAAGGATAATACATGTTATTTGTGTGGAGAAGAAATTTTTGAAGGGGACTCAATAGTTCGATTACCTTGTTTACATAAATTTCATCAAGAGTGTTTGTTAAAATCATTAAGTAATATTCATTTAAATGAATCAGAAAAATGTGAAAACCAATTTAAATGTCCAAAATGTTTAACTGATATCTTTACAGAAGAAAATCAAAACTCAGTGTTAATGCAATCTCTTATTCAACAATTTAAACAATTAGAGATTATAAAAAAATATGCAAATATTAGTGATGAGAGTGTTAGTGAATCTACAACAAGTGAAGTTATAGCAGCTATCAGCTTGAAAAATAATGAAGAAGATAATATTGTAGAGTCTCAATCTGTTGATACAACTAAAAAAGGAGATGAAGTGGCAATTGGAATAAACCCTGAAGAACAAAGCATTGATTTAGAAATAGAGGAGAATGAAGACAAGAAAGTAGTGACAAGAGATATGGATGGGAATTCTTTATTACAAAGGTTTGTTGTTTTTGTTTTTCATTGAACGGTTTTTGATTTATAACTTAGTAAAGTTATTCTTACCTGGAGAACTAAAATTCTTATTGTGATACTTGTCATTTGTTTTATTTTCCTTATTAAAGCTTTGATTAACCAACATAATATGGTTATTACTAATAAACAAGAACAAAACTAAAATAATCTAAGTTTCTTTTGACCTATTTATTTTTCAGTTTTTAGGTCAACAACTAAACGTTGTTTTGGTAATGTAAATATAACATTTCTTTTAACCAACTCGTTTGTAAGTAATTCAATAACTATTTTTTTAGCTTTAAGATACTTTCCTGGGTCATTATAAGTGATATCATTTACTTCAATCCATAGTAATAAATTAATTTTGTGTTCAAGAGTTACATCAACTGGAGAAAATATTATATCTGTATTCCACTTAAATGTTGTATCTGTTTTAAGAAATTGTTCTAATGAAACTCTGATTTCTTCAATAATTTTAAGGTCAACAGTTATGTCAACATTGATGTATAATTCAATTGTATAAAATGGTGAACGTTTAAGTTGTGTGATAACACTATTGTATAAAAAGTCATTAGGGAGGATGTATTGTTCTCCATTTGGATTATGAGCAACAGTACTTAGTAGTTGAACTTCATCAATAATAACTGTAGGAAATCCAGTTACTTGAATTCTGTCCCCGATATCAAATGGTCGAATAAAAATAACAAGAACAAGGCTTTCCCAGACTCTTTTCATATAATTTCCAAATATGAACGAAAAACCAAGAAAGAATGTACATGAAGGTAGCAAATATGATGAAATTGGAACACCATTAATTAAACAAATAACTATAAGAATTAAAAGGATTCCAAAGATATCAATAATACGAGAAAGTGCAATTGAAATTGTTTCTTTATCTCGAACTTTTCTCTTTAATAAATCTTTTTTTTTATCAACTAATTGAATCGCTGAAATACAATCCTCTATTTCAATAATATCTTTTTTAAACATTTCATCAAACCATTTATTAGTTTCTTCTTCATAAAAACATCTCTTTACGATTTCTTTTTTAATTTGATGATGACCAATTTCTGAAAAGAGAATTTGATCAGGAAACATAACACTTTCATTTACTCTAGATAATGGAATTCTATCAATTTGAAAAGATTCGTTTTTTGTTTTATATCCATTAAGAATACACATTTGTAATTGGTAGAGATTATCAAATAACTGTTTACTTTTTTGTTCAGTTTCTCTTTCATCGATTTGATTTTTTGCTAACAAACTATCTTTATCAAGAATCATTCTATTGATGATATCTTTCCATACTATTTTTTTATTCATTAAATGACATTCTTCAACAGGGTAAGGAGAATTGTTATTAATAAAAA